GAAAATATTGTTTCTTACGAGATTTTCTATAAGGTGAGCATAGTCTTAACCGAAAAAGCGGCAATCCTAGTACCAGTTCGTAGCGTAAAGCATTACCAAACACTGAACTGCATACTGTGTAGTAAACACAGAAACAGTTCAATGAGTAAAAACAAAAAACACAGAGGTTATAGATTGGAATTTGAGGCTGTAGAATGCCGCTTATTCTAGCGAGCGCAACTGGAACTAGTCTTAGATTTCCACCACTTGCGGCAGAAATTTACTTTTTACCTTACATTTATCAAATTATACGAAATTTAAGCAAGTAATATTAGTAAAATTTCCATAAAAAGATCCTAAATATGTCACAACTCGGACAAAATAACTAAATTATTCACAAAAATGTTTAGAAATTTAACTAGTCAGTCAACATAGAAAGGTATCAAACATACACCAGATAAGTTTTTCTATTTGCTAGTACTTTGAACTATTTATATAATTTTATTATGCGATTTATATTCCAAAGATTCAGTTTCTTCCCTATCAATATCTCTATTGATCAATAAAAAGCGAATGCGAGTCATTTGCTTTAAAATGTTGCGGTGCTTCATTTTCCTCAACTGAGCTTTTGTATTTCGAATTAATTATTAATTAATCTAAATTAAAAATACTTACTTAATTAAAATTACTAAATTAAAAATACTTAGGTCCATTGAATGGTAATCTGGGTTACCTAATTATTGCTATATTCTCACTTTTAAGAAGCATGTTATCCAAAGATTTTCTCAGAAAACTCAACTGTATTCTCTTTTGGGGCTCCTAAATACATATCTCAAAATGACCATTTGTAGCGTAAAAAGTGAGTGATTGAGCTGTGATACTGAAATTTCTACAAATTTGCTGTTAAATAGACGGAATTACGAAACATTTGCTTGCGACTCACATGCCATTTTTTGCTCTTCCAATCTTCAATCCTCCGTGCCATAATTATTCTATGTACTGRGCTTGCAAATAAGTCCTCCTACTTGGATCCATTTCACACATGCACATAACAAATATAAATCTAAAAATCCAAAAAATTTGCGGGAATGGAAAAAAATTGTTCAATTTGGGTAATATCCCATGTTTATTGGGTAGTTATTGAAGCCACTGCTTCTGAATTAATCAAGTCTATCATCATCATCAATTTAACAAATTCAACATAAACTTTAACACTAATATCATAATTGTTCTCACTACTATCGATTACATAAACAAGAGTATATATAAATAATAAAATACTGAGTAAATTAGCACAGACCAACCTGTAAGGAATCTGTGCATTTCAACAAATTTTCAAAGAAAACCTAAAATATGCCAAACAACAAGTTTTCCTTCTAAACTCTTTCCGGTGAAAGTAAGTAAGCAAGAGCCGTCTAGGAAAATAATAAGAACTGTTGATGAAGATGTTCTTGAGGCCTTCTATGGAAGTCCTTGCTAAGTCTAGTTATTTCTTCTTTTGGGCCTTCTCGGCAGCCTTCGTAACTTTACCAGCGGTGTCTTTAAAGTTCACCTGCTTAATCACCCCCACAGCTACGGTTTGACGCATGTCGCGCACGGCGAAACGACCCAACGGCGGAAACTCCTACCAAACCCAAACCAGTTAATTATCAATCCTTCTAACATGTGAATTTAGTCTTTAATTACCTGGAACGACTCAACACACATGGGCTTAGACGGCACCAAATTTACAAAGGCGGCGTCCCCCGTTTTAATAAACTTGGGGTTTTCTTCAGTAACTTTTCCAGATCGGCGATCGCACTTTTCCTTGATCTCAGCAAATTTGCAAGCGATATGAGCGGTGTGACAATCCAGAACCGGAGTATAACCATTTGATATCTGTCCTGGATGATTCAACACAATGACCTGGAAATAATGATTCAAAAAGTTTTTCTTAGATATTTTCAATTCTTGACAAATTGGCGGAATGTTTGAATATGTTTACATAAGACAAAAGTAGCGTTAATCTTGGTTTAATCGAGGTTTTATTATAATTTTTTTTGCTTTTTCTTAATTACCAGTCTGTAAAATATATCAAACGCTATACGTGATCCATAATCAATTTTTACCTGAGCAGTGAAATCAGCAGCACCTCTGGGAGGATTATTTTTCGAATCGCCAGCAACAAATCCGCGCCTCAACTCCTTGACTGAGACGTTCTTAACGTTGAATCCCACATTGTCTCCCGGTACAGCTTCTTGCAATGCTTCGTGGTGCATCTCGACTGACTTTACCTCGGTAGTTAGACCTACAGGAGCAAACGTCACCACCATTCCTGGCTTCAAAATTCCCGTTTCCACTCGTCCCACTGGCACGGTGCCGATGCCCCCAATCTTGTAAACATCCTATGGAAACACATTGTTGGAGAAAAACACACATCTGGAGAAAACCCTATTAACATTTCCTACCTGAAGAGGCAATCTGAGGGCCTTTTCAGTTGGCCGAGAAGGAGGCAGGATGGCGTCGAGGGCCTCAATTAGAGTTTTACCGTCGGCTTTCCCTTCTTTGCGTTCAATCGACCAGCCCTTGAACCAAGGCATCTTTTCGCTGGGTTCAAGCATGTTGTCGCCATGCCATCCAGAAATTGGCACGAAAGGAACACCGTTGGGATTGAACCCAATTTTCTTGATGTAGGAACACACCTCGTGTTTGATTTCTTCGAAACGCACTTCGGAATATGGAGGCTCAGTGCTGTCCATTTTGTTAACGCCCACAATAAGTTGCTTGACCCCTAGAAGTACGTTTTTTAAATGTTAATTTGCTTCCAGGTTGCTGAAGTAGCTTATCCACCTAGAGTGACAGCGAGCAAAGCATGTTCTCTAGTCTGTCCATTCTTCGATATCCCAGCCTCAAACTCCCCGGTGCCAGCGGCTACAATAAGAACAGCACAGTCCGCTTGCGAAGTCCCAGTAATCATGTTCTTGATGAAATCCCTATGTCCAGGGGCGTCAATAATAGTGACATAGTACTTAGCAGTTTCAAACTTCCATAAGGCAATATCGATGGTAATGCCTCTTTCCCTTTCGGCCTTCAGCTTATCCAGCACCCAGGCATACTTGAAGGATCCTTTGCCCATCTCTTGGGCTTCCTTTTCAAACTTTTCAATTGTACGTTTATCGATACCACCGCATTTGTAAATCAAATGGCCAGTGGAGGTGGATTTCCCAGAATCCACGTGGCCAATCACGACAATGTTAATATGGGTTTTTTCTCTACCCATGTTGAGCAATAAGCACGATTTTAATTTTCTGATTAACTGAAAAAAAAACGTGGGACATAAAATGATTCTATATATATTCTATAATCATATATACGAAGAACGATTTGAAACGTTTGCAAATTAAAATAGCAGATTTGTGCTGTGCAGACTGAATTTAAGTGACAAAGAATAATTTGCTCTGTTCTGATATGTAACGTAAAAAATGTGAAAATATTCAATTGGGACTAATTTAACGGCAAAATTAGAAATTTGAACACGCAAAACTGCTATTCTTTAAATCATCATTTTCCGTTTCTCATGCACCTTAGCAATATTATCCCGTTGCTTTGCTAGGAATGTTTGTCAAAAGCGCTATTAAAGTAAAATATATTTGGATTTGAAACAGTTCACTATAATCTGCGTTAGGGTGGGTCTTTTAATGAATGTTTTACGCTCGTAAGTTGAACCCTTAACGCCCCTCCCATCTGATTGATTTTCCTTGGAAGGGAACTAAGAAAAAGTTACAATTGACGATTGAGAGAAGGGCGCAGCCTGCTCTGCTTCGCAACACGAAAAAAATCCTTGGCAGCAAAATTTCGCTCATTTCAAAGCTAATAATATTTTGCTATGCAATGGGCAAGTGAACTATTATTTAGCAGTTTCACGTGAATATAAATATCTGGTGTGGTTACCCACATACATTGTATATGCTTAAGGTTGTGATCTCAATGCAGTTTGTCAGGAAATTTGCAAAAACCACCGGCAAAGAGCGCCGTGTTTGAAGCCTGGATTTATTGATTAGTCTGGATTCATTCAAGCCAGTCTCCTGCACAGCCAGTACCGATCGATTCCCTCTCGGGAATCCGCAAATGCGTGTTGATGTAGGTCAATAATTAAAAATGCTAGAAAGATTGCCAATTCATTTTTTGCTCACTTTAGTACTGTTATCCGATTGGAGCGCGGAAATGTTTTGCGGCAATTTGCACAACAATCCGCCCCAGTTGTGCGAAATGCAATCTTTCTTAACACAATCAACCAAAGGAAAAAAGCGATATATTAACTAAACTGTGATAAACATGTCTTGAAAAATTGCCGGTTACATTTTTAAGCACTGAAGTAGGAAAATATGGATTGAATAGATCAAAGCGCAATTTTCCACAAACAAATGAAATGGAAAGCAGCCGGATAGTGTGAACATCCACAAGATAAAGGTGGAATAAAAGTAACTATTTAAAAAAGCGCTTACCTAAAGGAAAACCACAGAGCGATGAAAAGCGACGTCGCTTCCAGACAGTTCGGCGGAAATAGTGGCGAAACGTCGGTGGTGGGGAGACATTGATTTATCAGTGCAGTGATTGAGTTGTTGATTTACCGTGAAACAATCCAAAATGTCTTTCCAGGAGAACGTTAAACCCCTTGGATAATATCAGCTAAATTTTATAAGCCCTGTGTGAACACTGACGACGGGAAATTAACAAAAATAATTTTTCATGATTGGAAACTCAAAGGGAAGTTGTTACCGAAGGGTTGCTATGGGGCGCCAAATTCAAACAACTTCAATTGTTATCAACATTAAAAAGCGAATTTATTTAAAATATTTATTTTACATAGTTACAAAAATTAACTACTGCGGTTTATTGGGCGACGACCAAGTCGGCAGGTAACTGGTCCATCCTTTAAGTCCAGGATCGCCTTTGGCCACCATGGTTAATTTTTGCGTTTCTTCAGGACTCAACTTTAGGATCGTATTCAATACTGGCACCAACCTGCTTCTCTCATCTCCCGTACTTAACGTCACAAACTAAAAGAAGCAGACAATGCGGCTTCATTATATACTATAGAAAGCAATTAAACGACCTGAAAAGTCCGTTAGAGCCGGAGAAAGTGAGCGCAGTTTATAGCAAATTTCAAACTGTGCAAATAAGGAACAACATTGAGGAAGATTAGTTCAACATGTATCTGCCCCACGGGAAACAGGTAAATCATTACAAACAATTTAGCCAAACAGTTCAAACTTTTTAAGCAAAAAAATTGGTTGTAACCAACCCATTCTTACCTTAAAAACTACATTTTTTAAGTACTCCAGATTGTCGGCATGTTTTTCTCGTTCAACCGATCTTTGCTGCCTCCGAATCTCCTCTTTCAGCACCTTGTTCATCTGCACATGCTTAGCCAAATCCTGCTCAGTATCAGATAGCAACGCTGTTAAATGCACAACTTTGGATTCCTGTTCTGAAAGTGATTTCTTCAGAAGCAGTATTTCATCGTCTGACCTGGAATCTGACACAAAAAATTGAAACTTCATTCACCTCTTATCTTTAGACTCACCAAGTAATCGTTCCAATGGAATTGGGTGTACACTGCTTGAGAGGTGAGTGCTTTCTATGCTCTCCGAGCCCTCGCCGTCCTCCCTGGGCATGTTCGGATGCTCGGGAAGAGTGTCCAGTGGTGAAGGTGTCTTATCTAGCTGACTTTGAAGCTCGATAATTTCCCTATTATGTCGAACCTCTTGGTCGGAGATCTGCTGGCGGTAACACTGAGATAGCGTCTCTGCGTGCACCTTTAAATGGCAAAGTTGTTTTAAACTCTGAAGAACTTGAGCAACAAATAGAGAAAATGCACCTTTAAATTCCTGACAGTCTCCGCATGTTCACTGACTGTTTTTTGGTGTTTAGCCTCCAGTTGCTCGTTGTAGTTCTTCAAGTCCTGGACTTCTGTTTCTAGTTCGGTTACTTTTTTACTCAATCGGTCTTTTTCTGTTGCAAGTGCTTTATTAATTTCTTCGTCCCTTTGGAGCTTTTCTCTGCAAAATTGCCAATAAAGTAAGGTGGCCCCCTATAAAACTGCATACATACCTAGACTCTTTTAGCTCATCGCTCAAGTTCGTATTAAGCGATCTGGCAGTGGTGAGTTCTTCAGACAATTTTTCTTCGAGCCCCAGGTCTCGATTTTGGCTCTTCTTCAGTACGCTCTGAGCTCGCACTTTGTAACTTTCATAGTCCCCCTTAATGGCACTTAATTCATCCTCTCTCAACTTGAGTGTGTCTTTTAGCTCCCTCACATTCTGCTGTAGGCCTGATTGCTGATTTCTCAACTGGTCCCGTTCAGCCTTTGTATTACTGAGGGTCTTCTGATGTTCTGCAATAACTTTGGATAACTCAGTGGAAAGTTCTTCGTTGTCGGACCGTGCGATTTCTAATTGCTTAGTGACATCGACAATTTTTTGCTCCTTTTGCTGTATTAGATCCTCCAAATTGGCAATATTCCTTCTGCAACTTGCCACTTCTAGTGAACTGCTTTGGCCATTGTTTTCCTCCTGCTTTATTCTTGCTTCTAGGATTTTATTCTGCTCTCGTAAAACATTGACCGTGTTTCTCTGCGAATCCAGCTGAGTCTGCAAATTGCTAATTTCACTAACGTGTTTATCAATCTTCTGCGACAATTCTTTCACGCTTCGCTCATAGTCCTGCATTTCCAGGCTGAGAACCGAGTTCTTCTTACGCTCCGAACTAGTTTGCTCCAAAAGGCTCTTTGTCTGCCTGTGGCTTTCCTGTTCGTTCTTCAATTGAACGGCTTTGCTTTCCACATCGCTTTCCAACTTTGACACCTTACCTTCCAGTTCTTTTAATAAGATGTTTTTAGCTTCTGCATCTTTTCTCAATGTTTGAACCTTAGCGCTAACTTGCTTTTTCCAGTTATCGACCTGTTGCTGGCCAGCATTAAGCATTGCAATTTCCTTCTTTAACTGCGAAATTGTTTCTTCATTTGCTGCCAGCAATTGTTTGTCTTTCGATATATTTTCGGCTGTGGAATTTAACTTGTTTAAGTATTGCTTTTTCTCTGCATTCGCCTTCTCCAGGTCGTCTTGAAGTTTGTCGATTTCTGCCTGCAAACTTTGGATAATTTTCAGATTGTTTGATTGCGTTTTCAATAAGTCCTCGCGCACTTTTTCATGCTCTTTTATGGCGTTTGCTTGATCTCGAATATTCGCCTTCAGTTTGATGGCCAATGTTCTGAGTTTTCCATATCTCTCTTCCCAAGAGCCTTCCAATTCCTTCAACCGATTGGTTTCTTCGTATCTTGATATAGTTGACGTCGACATGGTTTCACTTTCTGCATAGCTTGTGTCCATGTTATTCTGTAGTTTGCTTCTTAGAGCCTCAATTTCGGACTTTAAATTTGCAATTTCAAGCTCCCTGCTCGCGTTGCTTTCAACAGGCGGGTTATTATTTCGTAAAGAATCTAGCTCCTTTGAAAGCTCCTTAATAGTTTCGTCTTTTGCTGTTATAAATTCCACGTTTTTATTTGCCTGCGTCTCATACAGCTGAAGTTTTTTCTTGATTTCCTCACAGTGAGCTTCCAGCTTGGATATTGTTTCTCCTCGCTCTTTTAGAGCTTGGTTCATCTCGTTCATCTCTTGTAGCAGTTCGACATGTTCTCTCTTCAAATCTTGAATACTATTTTCATCAGCAGAATTCTGTGATGAAGATGTGTCTTCATTGGCTTGAACCGAGCTATCCACGTGGACTTTGCTTTCTTTTAAGCTGAGTTTCTCTTGAAGTTCTTGAAGTTGTTCTTCAAGGCTTTTATTACTTCGAGCTAATCTGAGAATTTCCTCACTAGACTCTTCTGCTAACCTTTTCTCGGTATTCACCGATTGTCTCAGGGCTTCGTTTAACTTATTCACTTCCTCTTTGGAGGCGATAAGCAAATTATTTTCAGCTTCATATTTGCATTGGGATTCTTTCAGTTCCTGATTGAGGATTTCCAGTTTTTCTTTGTAGGTGAGACAGACATTGTTGAGGTTTTCATTTTCGTGCGCAATCCTGGCCAAATTTTCCGAGATTTTAACCTTTTCAGCAAGTTCCGCATTGAGCCTTTGGATATCTTCGTTCTGGCTGATTAGTTGTTGGTTGCATTTATCCAATTCCAGTTTGATTTCCGGATTTTCCGCGTTTTGTTTAAGCTTCTGATTTTCATCCTGAAGCTGATTGACTAGTTTGATAAGTTCGGCACTCGCTTTAAGTAGTTGCACTTTCCATTCATGAATCTGTTCAGTGCAGGCTTTGAACAGTTCAATAATTCCGTTTTTCTCATTTTTAACTTCCTTGATGTTCAAGGCAAATTTTTTCAGTTTTGAATGGTACAATGTGACCTTTTCTTTCAGTTTTTCGTTAACATCTTTAATACTTGACAATTCTGTAATATAGCCATCGTTCCTAATTTTAAGTTCATCTATTTCCTTAATGTAACTATCACAACTTGTATCGCTTTCCTGCAAGGAAGTGTTTTTAATAATTTTTAAAGCCTGCAACTCTTGAGTTAATCCTGATATTTGTTGCTCTTTACTCGCTAGATTGGCGTTGAGTTTTTGGACTTCCTCCACACTAATTGCTAACTTACTCTGTAGATCCTTGATGCTATTGGTGTTTGATTTCTCCAATTCTAGTAATTGGCCCTTCTGTTCTACGCCTAGCTTGTGAAGCTCCGCTATTTGCGTTTCAAGGGTTGATAAATCGGAAATTAGCTGTTCGTTTTCGTCAGTTAGCCTTTTAGCTTGCCTCTGGTACGAGGTATTTTCTGTCTCCAAATCAGTGACTTTTTCTTCAAATGATTTCAGTTTTGAGTTCAAGCTGTGGTTTTTCACTTTTAGATCTTCAATTTGGTTCACCAGCTGTAATTTTTCACTGGTTAGACTTTCGATAAGTTCAATGGTGGCATCGTTTTGAGTTGCCTGATTGAGTTGCTTTTTCAGACTGTTGATTTCTTCCTGCAAGCTCTCTTTAGAGGTTTTAGCTTTTTGAGCCAAGGATATTAACGATTTGCACTTTTTAACTAAATCCTCCTTTGGCAAGTCTTCCAAGTTTATTTTTTTGCCTTCGGTTGGTTCCATTCTTGTAGTGGTTAGTGGTAAATGTTAAGTTGTTGTTAGTTTGCGATCATTTTAAAGGCATTATTTAAAAGAATAATTATTACCTTTACGATGACACATCGACGAATTTTGATGTTTGGGCTTGACGAGTAAACAAACATTGGGTTTTCTTTGATTGGCAACAATGTGTGTTGTTTTCAATAAAAAATTCGATTTTTTATTATTTCAAGTGTTCAATCCCTGTTAGATCTTCATAAAAGCTCTTTATTTAACGGTTTCAAATAAATAAAGGGCAGAGATCGAAGAGTGATGGGGTACCAGCAGTGGCACCAAGGCACCAAAGAGAAAACCAGGAGCATGACTACATGACGTTTGTTTTGATTTCTCTGCGTTCTATTTGACATTATATTGTTTTCATTTTTTATTTAACTACGTGGTTTGTTTTTTTCTCGTGTTAAATTTAATTCCAATCACATTTATGTTAAGAATAGGTTGCAAGTTAAGCAATGTCTTCCAAGCATTTTTGCTTAAAATGGACAAAGTTTCAAACGAGCATATTGAATGCATTTGAAAGTCTGCAGAGCACTGAAGATCTTGCAGATGTTACCCTAACTTGTGAAGGAATCAGTATAAAAGCCCACAAATTCATCCTATCAGCATGTAGCCCGTATTTTCGAACTATATTTAAGGTAAGATAGTAGTGAACATTCCTTCAGAAGTGCCTATCATTGAATGAATTGTAGGAGAATCCCTGCTCGCATCCAATAGTAATTCTCAAAGATGTAGCATATGTAGATCTGATAGCAATAGTAAACTTTATGTATCATGGGGAGGTGATGGTATCTGAAGAACAGCTCCCTTCATTTCTGCAGACTGCTACGATTCTGCAAGTGTCTGGGCTGATTAACAATGAAACCCCATACAGTCTAAACAGACAGTCTACTCCAACGAAAAAGATAAAACCCAGTCCTAGTGATCACCAGGAATGTCCGACGAAAAAAATCAAAGCCAATCCGAGAGGCCACAAATCGACTTTGGAAGAAAGTATCTGCAAAATGTTAGTGCCACCAGTGCCTTTAGGACAGTTAGAAACCGACAAAATTAAGCTCGAATCCCAAGAAGAACTGGAAGAAAATAGTGATCAAAACCTTAACAAAATATACGAAGTTCCCGAGAAAATAGAAAGTCAATCTCATAGTTCGATACTAGAAGCCGCTCTTGAAGTTAAGTCAGGAAGCATATTGGAGAGGTCGTTGACATCTCAACCTACTTCTGGTAAAACAGCAGCAATACCTGTGCCAACGGAAAAATTGAATACATCGCCTGTATTGCCAGATATTTCAATACCAAAAACCGTGTTCATACCGAGGAAACCACCAGAGAGTGAAATGGAACGGTTGATATTGAGATCATCTTCAGAATCGTCATCCAGTCCTTCATCCTTTGAACGTCCTGGTGAATATCTACAGCAGACCATAAAAGTTGAAGGAGTGGACCAGCCAGAAATGGAGGTGAGTTTTGATTTTCTGAACTGGTCTGGTTAATATGTAACTAATTAATTAGTTTTTTGTAAACAACAGGTTAAATTGAGCCATAAAGTATTCTGATTTATGACCTTATTTTCAAAAAAATTGCGCGCGTAGCAATTTGCATCTAAAGCTAAACATTATCGAATCAAAAACGGGTTTTATTTGTTTTCAAGTGTTAAAAGTGTACGTTCTAAGCATTCATGGAGCTACCTGAAATTAACGAAAAAAAAACGTTCGGAAACCCCTTGAAGATGGATTTTTGTAAATAATATCTAAAAAGTTTACACATTAGAAAGTAAGACTCGCATTTTTTCGCTGGATCCAGTGTTTTTAATGTTTAATTGTACTTGTAGATTCTATCATCAGAAGAGGCAGCGCTGAACTTTTCGAAATCAATAGCGGAAGTTCCACACCACAGCAGTCAATGTGGAAATTGTCCGCATTGTGGCAAAATTTACTCGAATCAATCGGCCTTAAAATACCATGTAAGATTGGTACATTCAGATTTGACGAATATGTATTGTTGTCATTTATGTCCGGAGAGTTTTGACTATAGGGAGGGCTACAAAAAGCACATGGCTGACGCACATTCCGTGCGGAATTGATTTAGAATTTGGTTGAATTGATTTAGAATTTGGTTCATTTATACTTGTTAATAAATATTTTATTTTATATGTTAATATTAAAATGGTTTTTGAGATATTCTCTTTTCATTCGCATCATTTGGGATTTTATATTGGGGAATTTAAAGAGCATTCGCAAATATAAAGAATATGTATTACTTACGTTTTTGCCCAATTCGGTTTTGTTTTCAGAATTACAATAACTTTTTGAACAAAGGTAATGAATCAAGCTTAAGTGAACGGTAATCAATACAATCAGATTTCAAAGGCAACATAAATTGGCTTTTAGGTCTACGATTTATGAACCATGTTTTGTCTTATAAATTTCACCGAATTATTTTAATTACATATATCGCCGACTAAAACATCTGAAAAAGCTTCTACTTGTTTTAAATCTATTTGCTACAACGAATCATCAATACTCCAATGCAATAACGAATTTCTTAATTGTCTATCTTAAGTTAACTAGCATGTAATCACAGCCTATTTATGATTATCATGATTTATAGGTATTAGTTAACGATTGGCTGGAACATTGAATGGTCGTCTAGCAGGCAAGTTGGTTGGATTGGACCGCACACAAAGAAATCTGAGCAAAGTTGGTTGATTAGTTATTTGGTTTTTATTCCCGGGACTGAAAGAGGATATAAATGTCCAATTAGTTTTGAAAATTGCCTACAGCGGTGAAATCGCAAACGATCAAATAACCAATCCATTCTACCGATACTCAACAGTAACTGCAGGATTAGGATTAAATAGTACCTATAAAATCAGACTTCATTAGGAGTATTTAAGATATGGTTTCTAATCCGAATAGTCTTCGTTTAGAGGCGCGTTCACAATATAAACAGATGCGGCGGTCCCTCAGCTTTCTATTTGATCTGCAATTATCAGGTCGTCTCCTTCAGCAGCAATTGTGATCATCATTTTTTCCTCGTTGCTTGAACTATCCGAAGAGGCCGAGTGCTGAGTTGAGGTTGCGGCCTCCTAAAAATGCAATCATCCATACAAAAACCCATTGATACATTTGTTCCTGAACCAATTTCCATACCTGCGAGTAGTTCAAATGAGTTATGGCATATTTTATGTTATTCTTGCTATCGGTTATCCAAACTGGCTGCGGTTTTTGCTCGACTTCAGATTGCCCATCAGGATCGTCATGCGATTCCCAAGGTTCCTCTTCGTCCTGATCTTTATCCTGCTATGGGAACGTGGATTAATTAAAAAGCTTGCACTAAATAAGCGTTTTAGAGGATCGAAACCGATCAATTACTTACCGAGAGTCGTTGTTTTTGATGGGTCTTCAAATGCTTTGAGAGGTGATCTGATCGCATGAACTTTTTGTTACACTCGCTGCATTGAAACCGCTTTTCTCCCGTATGGGTGCGACGATGTCGTTGAAGCTCATCTGATCGAGTGAAACGTTTCCCACAAAATAACCAGGCACAGACAAATGGTCGTTCACCGGTATGCCATCTTAGATGTGCTCTGAAAGATGAATTTACACATATTAATGCTAGTTACCCAAAAAATATTATGAAATTTGAGATTTTCGGTTAACAGCCACAGAATTGTCTTATGTTAATCTACGATATTACATATACCGGGTGATTATATGGTTTCCGAGATTGTTTCTTTCCGAAATTTTGTACCACTGCATATAACAGTAAAATATTAAAATTCTTCCTCCTCCTGATGATGACTGAAAATCAAATGTCTTGCTACTTATAAGACAGACTTTGCCCTACAAAATGCATGGAAAAGCCACACTCTTACTTCATTAGTTCTTGAATGAATAAATGCCAAACTCCGGCCCACTAAAACGAGCTCGTAATCCCAACGCAATTAAAAAAAATCGTCATAAATTGCCTGATGATGAGTGAAAATCGAAACCTTCCCCACGTATAGAAGATACTTTGCCCTACAAATTGCATACAAAGTAACTGGAATTTCTAACTTCCCAAATTGGAGAGCTAAGCTCCGGCCTGCTCTGATTACTTAATTGCACAGATTTTCAGAGAGGGCGGATCCAAAGGGGGGTGATGACCCCCCCATTCAATTCTCTATCCAACGATGCCAAAACGAATTATGTGGCTCAAATGGTTCTTGAGAAACTTCGAAAAAAGCAGCGCCATGTTCAAGTGGAGTTTTCAACTCAAAAAAAAAACCACACAAATCGAAACTTCTTCAATTCAAGCATTTTTTGAGAAAACTGCCAGCATTTCCGCATCGATCGTTTACGTTCTATAAAGGCCATTTACTTCTCTCTAGAATGATGTAAAAATGAGCGTTCTTGCTCATTTTGTCTCCGAGAAATGAGCAAAAACGGGACGGAAAACATGAAATTTTGGCATAA